CCACTACTGTGCCTGTATGACAGACAACCATGAACAAGCAATAACCCCACCGTGAACAGCCACTACTGTGCCTATATGACAGACAACCATGGACAAGCAATCACCCCACCGTGAACTCCCACTACTGTGCCTATATGACAGACAACCATGGACAAGCAATCACCCCACCGTGAACACCCACTACTGTGCCTGTATGACAGACAACGATGAACAAGCAACCACCCCACAGTGAACACCCACTACTGTGCCTGTATTACAGACAACCATGAACAAGCAATCACCCCACCGTGAACAGCCACTACTTTCCTGTATGACAGACAACGAAGGACAAGCAATAACCCCACAGGGAACTCCCACTACTGTGCCTGTATGACAGACAACGAAGGACAAGCAATCACCCCACCGTGAACAGCCACTACTGTGCCTATATAACAGACAACCATGGACAAGCAATCACCCCACCGTGAACTCCCACTACTGTGCCTTTATGACAGACAATCATGAACAAGCAATCCCCCCACAGTGAACAGCCACTACTGTGCCTGTATGACAGACAACGAAGGACAAGCAATCACCCCACAGTGAACTCCAACTACTGTGCCTGTATGACAGACAACGATGAACAAGCAACCACCCCACAGTGAACACCCACTACTGTGCCTGTATTACAGACAACCATGAACAAGCAATCACCCCACCGTGAACAGCCACTACTTTCCTGTATGACAGACAACGAAGGACAAGCAATAACCCCACAGGGAACTCCCACTACTGTGCCTGTATGACAGACAATCATGAACAAGCAATCACCCCCCAGTGAACAGCCACTACTGTGCCTGTATGACAGACAACGAAGGACAAGCAATCACCCCACAGTGAACTCCAACTACTGTGCCTGTATGACAGACAACCATGAACAGGCAATCACCCCACAGTGAACTCCCACTACTGTGCCTGTATTACAGACAACCATGAACAAGCAATCACCACACCGTGAACTCCCACTACTGTGCCTGTATGACAGACAACCATGAACAGGCAATCACCCCACAGTGAACTCCCACTACTGTGCCTGTATGACAGACAACCATGAACAAGCAATCACTATACAGTGAACTCCCACTACTGTGCCTGTATGACAGACAACGATGAACAAGTAATCACCCCACCGTGAACACCCACTACTGTCCCTGTATGACAGACAACCATGACCAAGCAATTACCACACCGTGAATTCCAACTACTGTGCATGTATGACAGGCAACGAAGGACAAGCAATAACCCCACAGTGAACTCCCACTACTGTGTCTGTATGACAGACAACGATGAACAAGCAATCACCACACAGTGAACTCCCCCAACTGTGTCTGTATGACAGACAACCATGACAAAGCAATTACCACACCGGGAATTCCAACTACTGTGCATGTATGACAGACAACGATGAACAAGCAACCCCCCCACAGTGAACTCCCGCTACTGTGCCTGTATTACAGACAACCATGAACAAGCAATCACCCCACAGTGAACTCCCACTACTGTGTCTGTATGACAGACAACCATGAACAAGCAACCACCACACGGTGAACTCCCACTACTGTGCCTGTATGACAGACAACCATGAACAAGCAATCACCACACAGTGAACTCCCACAACTGTGTCTGTATGACAGACAACGATGAACAAGCAATCACCCCACAGTGAACTACCACTACTGTGCCTGTGTGATAGACAACGACGATCAGGTACATGTAATAGCCATTCTTTATGGTCTTTATGAGAGAGAACAACGAATAATCCCAGCTCTGCTCTTGAATATGAGTGTACAAGAACAAATACTCACACTTAAATGTATTTGTAACCGATAACTACGACCAAACAACAACCACACTACAGTGTAGGTATGGTAGACAACCAATACAGAACAAACATCGACTTTAATAATAGTTGCAACAATGTTAATACCTAATGGATAGTCAACATAAAACAACAAAGACATACAGAGATTAAAAACAAGGAATTGACAGGATAACCATTCGGAAAAAGAACGTCCACGGGCAAAGCATTATAAGGTATAGCAAGCTTTCTTTTCAATTTGAAGGTAATACGAATATCACACATACCTTTGAATTTATAGCATGTGTCTAATGTTCAATGCTTTTAAAATGTATATAACTAGAAGTGCGTTACATCTTTAAAGCATTAGCTTTTGCCAAATGGGTATATTATTAATGCTAAGATGATTGGACAATATTCCGACTTTGTAACGCGTCGTTAGCCGTTGTTATCAGTGATATCTCGATGTCGTCGCTGTTACGACATTTTATACTCATGCATGCTTACGGTAGGTGTGGTTCCCAATGGTGCATACCGGGCTTATCTCCTTAGTGTCACAATGGACTGGGCAGTTGAGGTCCGTCTGCGTACACTGACCAGTGTGTCGGATGCTCAGCAAACCATGTTGCCTAGCGGCCAGACACCTTGCATTTTCAAAGTCGCAATGGCTATCTAAAAAACCCAGTGCAGCAAATCCATGTTAATTTTGACAAACAAAATGATGTTTATAATTTTTACTGAAATTGCACTTCGGGTCTTTATTCATTAATGAGGTTTATTTTACATTAGAAAATTCCGACCGTCTTCACAATACTTCATAAATGTACTCTAATCACATCGTTAATTATATATAATATTCCCTAAGCATTTTTCCATACTAAAGAAAGGTGTTGTAATTCAATGCATCGATATAACGTAACGTACGTAAATTAAAACAGAATCTGAAATAAACAAAATATTGCCTGGATCAGGGAATTCAAGCTATGGACAAAAACCTTTTGGCTGATGTGATTTTAATGGGGCAAACGTTTTGCTTAAATCCTTTATTATTAACATATTTAGTAAAACGTCAACTGCGCGTATAACGTCTAAACAGGTTCCATAAATGTTACCAAATCAATGTCTCTGTTTAATGATAGATATCCTTTATGTCATGTTAAAAACATGATATTACCGTATGTGATACCGTCACTGCCGCACACGGCGCTGTCACCACTTTCGTCATCACAGATTGTGTCACAATGGGTAGAGTGAGGCTGAGTCGAGATGGAGCGGCAACTTCCGGTATGGGCCAAGGTCATGTGCTGACCTTTAAGGCGAGCGTAACACTCAGCAATTTGTAGTTTACACATGTTACCTGAAGTTGGATAATTGGACAAATGTGTTATCAAAATTAACTTACAAACATGATGTAGGATACTAACCAAGGTCACACTAATACAATTGCATGATGTCGGTTGAACAACTGAGAGTATGCATCCTTGATTGAAGTAACTTGAAAACAGGAAAAACATAGACAAAATAGAACCCTGATACAAAAAGGACAACTTTGGCCACATTGACACTTTCAAAAATGCGGAAATAGGTTCACTGTGTAAACCCACATTAAGCGAGCAAACGGTGCTGGTACCGATGTGGCAGTGTTTTGGACAAGCAACGAAACATATGTATGTTTTGATTTACAGGATTTATGATGGAAAATGAGGCAAAATATGGAATGTGTTATCGTCCAAACCTCAAAAGAATTTGATCGGACAGAAATGAAGCACAGTGAAAGTTTGACTTATTTGAAGATATATTTAACCAAATTCAAGATAGATGTTCAATCCCATTTAGGATATCTTCAAATGCACATCTTCAATTAACTTAAAGAAATCCTTATTTTAATCGAAGAGAGCTTGACTATATATGAAAAAGTCTCCGTTGAATTGTACGAAACTCCAATCATTTGAATATTTGTTAATTTGGGGATCCGTAATACCATGGAACGCTAAAATAACATATATTTACACACCTGCCCTAAACTTCAATTAATTGAAAAAAATGGAGATAGATAAAAATTATTTTTAAGATATGTTCAAATCAATTGAAGATATGTTCATTTCAATTGCCCATATCGTTTCGTCTAAGTAGATAGGTGCAAATATTCGAATATAACATGAAATTGATTAAAGATATTTTCAATCGGCAATTGAATTTAACCTTTAATGCATAATTGGACCTACCAAGTATATGAAGATGGGTGCTATTAATTTGATATAGATTGTATGTTAACTTGGCGTTCAATAAAGTGCTATGAAGACTTACTGTATGTGTGACGGTCAGTACCACATACTGGACTATACTGGGAGTTACAGATCCTGTCACATAGATGTGACTGTCCATAGACAGCTCCTACAAAACGGAATAATTATAAACACAAATAATAAGACTCGTTTCCTAAACAACAAATAAATAATAACATCATAAATCGACAATTAATAATTAACAATTTACCAAGAACTGTCACAAAAACGGCGAGTGTGTACATGTTGGTAGTCGGTGTGATAAGGAAAGGTTGTGATCGTGATGGTCTGTACTTATCGCAGGACTGCTACTCCTCGTCATGGACTAGATAGGGCTGACCTCTACAGCGGTTAAACCGCTTATCTTGCTCTCAGTGCTATTTCACAGGCGTTGAAATTCGTCCAAAGACTGTCAGTCGTTTAGCAAATAACCGATAACTTTTAAACGTCTACATTACAATAATATTATTGTAAGGATGTGATTTAAGGAATATTGGGCTTTCTAACACTTGCATAGCTTTTGGACAAATTTTCGTTTTTGGCACTATTTAATCTGAAATATTTCTATTTTGAATAATAAATGAAATAGTACAAAGCTATAGTCGTCTTTGCGTATTGCAGAGTTATCTACTCTTGTGAGCAGGTATTGATTGTTACGTCATTGGTTTGTGTGAGAAAATTACGTCGTTTCCTCAAAAATTAATGACGTTACTCTCACAAACAAATGACGTAACAATCAATCCCTGCTCACAAGAGAAGATAAATCTGCAATACGCAAAGACGGAATTGCCAACCGTGACGTCGACATTTAACGTCATGATACGACGCTATTATGATATTATTTACAAAGGTGTGGATACTGCCGAGTACCGATATATAGGATAGCACTTGACGCAGTTTTGACATTTAGCAGAATGCAGGCAAAGGGATGTGCCCAATCAAATAGAAGTTATGAAACAAAATCAGCGAAATACCGGTGAGTATTTATAAACAAGTATAACATGTACCCGGGGCCGTAACAATATACGCCCGTCAGTCACATACCATTTAGACTGTATTCATTTTGGTATTAATATAACTACGTACTCTAAATAACCTAGTGGGAATATTAAATAAGTACATGTATTAGAATTTTTGTACTATTTATTATTAAGGTCAGTGGGCAAATCGATATTAAAATATTGAACTGTTACAAGAAACAGTTCATATTTTAGAATATGTTAAAATTGGAAAAATAGCGTAGTTTACTTAATTATCTAAAGGTAACTACCTTAGTGAGGATTCTACAATGCCAGACTCGGCACACGTGGTGGTGGGGTGGCTGTTCTGTTTAAGAAAGGCCTAAGTGTGAGACATACACACACTTTGAGCACATGAATTGTTCTGTCATTGCTGGTGATAAACAATTTAGATTGTGTATCATTTACAGGCCTCCGCCATCTAAACATCCGAAATACAGTGTTTTTTATGAATAGTCTACCTTTTTAGACCACCAAGTTGTTGTACCACAAGAGATTATAATCACGGGTGACCTAAATTTCCACTTAGACGATCTATCTAATGTTGATGCTCGCCAGTTCTCTGGGCTACTAGATTCCAGGGGTCTGATTCAGCATGTGACAGAAGCTACACACACCCATGGCCACACACTGGATGTGGTCATAACTCAGTCATTAATAGAGCAATTTCAGTGATTGATCCATGTCTAGATGATGTAAAGGAGAACCAATCTGGTGATCATCTTGCTGTCCACGCAAAACTGAATTGTAGTTAGCCAGATCGTGCAAGGAAAGAAGTGAGATTCGGGAAATTCCGCGAAATTTCAATACCAGATTTCAACAATGACATTCAGTCTTCTTCCGCCCTTCAATCTACTGAAGGCGGGATTGGTGATCTTGTTGAAGCATACACATCTGGTATATAAGCCCTTATAGAGAAACACGCACCTCTGCAGAATAAAGTGATAACTGTGAGACCGAATACCCCGTGGTCTAATGAAAATCTCCGCGTAGAAAAACAGAACCGTCGAAAAGCAGAGAGACAGTGGCGACGGACCAAATTAGCCGTTCACCAACTGATTTATTGAACAATGTCGGCTAGTTGGTTCACTTCTCATTCAGAAGGCTTATTATTAGGAAAGAATCGAAGAGTGGGGTAAGGATCATAGACAGCTTTTTAGACTCACCAAAAACATATTGGGCCAGCAAGGTGAAATTATCCTACCAATCTGTAATTCTGAAGAAGACTTGTCGAACAAGTTCAGTGATTACTTTCTGAATAAAATCAGCTCGATCAGGAAAAATATTGCCGAAGTGAACTCTACTGCTGACAATGATATCTCTGTCATGACTGCTGGGATTGAATTTGATAGAGAACCATTGGCAAAGCTCTTACCAACAACACAGGACGAGTTGCGCAATATCATCATGACCTCGCAATCGAAGCCCTGTGAGCTTGATCCACTGACCACAGACCTATCAAAGAAATGTCTTGAAGCACTGCTTCCTTTGATTAACTCAATCATGAACAAACCATTGACTGAGTCAAAGGTTCTATTGTGTTTCAAGAAGGCACATCTTAGACCATTGTTGAAGAAGCCTGAAATAGACAAGGAGGAGTTGAAGAACTACCGCCCAGTATCAAATCTGCCTTTTCTGTCTAAGATCTTGCAGAAGGTTTTGTCCCGGCGTTTAGAAGCTCATCTCCATGCAGACAGTCCCCATGACAACATGCAATCGGTCTACCGCATGGGACACGCTACTGAGACGGCCCTCATACGGCATAGCTTCTGCATTGGATAACAAGTGCAGAGCGGTGGTTGCTATGCTGGATTTGTCAGCTGCATTTGACGTCATCGACCATGGCATACTTTATAAACGTCTGAAGTACTCTTATGGAGTGACTGTTGCCATTGGATCTACCACCTCACATGATAAAGCACTAGATTTCGGGGTTCCTCAAGGGTCGGTGTTAGGACCACGAAAATATTGCCTGTACCCCAAACCGATTGGAGAGATTTGTCGTCGCCATAGCCTTCGCTATCATTGCTATGCTGATGACACACAAATGTACATGGTCATCAAACCAAAGGACAGTTGAGATACAATTTCAGATAATCTGGAAGCTTGTCTGACAGATATCAGTACATGGATGAACGCCAATATGCTAAAGGTTAATCAGGAAAAGACGGAACTAATCGTCTTTTCCCTAAAGTGTCAGCAAACAATGGCTCTCCAGCTCAAGATCGGTGCCAGAACTATTGAGACTGTCCCAGCTGTTAAAATCCCAGGGGTATACTTTCATAGTCACTGAACATGGATCATGTTACTACCATATCAGGAACATCGGCTGTATTCGGCAGTTTATAACTGCAGATGCATGCAAGATTTTGGTGCATTCACTTGTTACCTCTCGGTTGGATTATGGTAACGCCCTGCTTTAACTTTTCGTCTGCAGAGGGCCCAGAACACTGCAGCACGGCTTGTTACTCGTACTCGAAAGAGAGAGAACATAACGCCTGTGCTATATTCATTGCACTGGTTATCTGCACGATACAGGTTGCAGTACAAACCTTTGGTGTACACATACAAGGCATTAAATGGAACAACTCCCCAGTATCTACAGGAGCTTGTCACCCTGTATCAGCCGTCACGATCACTGCGATCAGAGTCAGAATCATTGTAGAGTGTCCCAAAATCTCGTACTGTGACCTATGGAAACCGATGCTTTGGGAGGGTTTCGGCCACGTTTTGGAATAGCTTATCATCTGCTATTAGAAAGTCAAATACCCTGGCCAAATTCAAGAGGGACATCAAAACTCACCACTTCACGTCTGCATGTTAGGCTCTTTGCAGAGACGTCATGTAAATGCGACTCTTTATTTGTTAATTTATGTGCACATTGCGATGATATCTGCTTGCTTAAATGTATAAAAGTGATTGTAAGCCTTTGTTTTTGTTTCACAATTATAACTAATACTATTATCCATATGATGTAAAGCGCTTTAGAGTAATTTTACAAATGATATAGGGCGCTATATAAATGTTGTATTTTTATTTTTATTTTTCTATTTTATAGGACCTTACCATTTTGTAAACTATTTAAGAATTGTTCCTCTTTGTCGTTTTTAATCTAAAACACCACGAACATGTTTCAATGTAAAGAGGAACACACGGCACAATTTAAGAATAAGTATTGATTACAAGTTTGGTGAAAGTTGATGACAAACTTTGGTATAATATGAACCAAAGGCCATAACATTTAACACGAGCCGAATTCAGAAAGCTTATGTGGCTATTTTGGAAATCAAGTTGCATCTGACCAGTAGTTTGAGAAGAGAATTCCCAGGAGAGTAAGCCCTTTATTTGTATAACTTTTATCCTTATGCGTGTTACCTTAACGATTTGGTTGAAATCTAACCAGCCCCGGTATACGTAGTCAGCGCCTCTTTTTCTTTTAGCTACAATTCGGTCGAAGTTCCTCAGCCCCTTTCTTTGTATCGTTTTCCCCATGCCCTCAAGATGCTATTACCAAATTTGGTTTAGTTTATCTCACCTGGTCCGAAGTATGCCATACCGTAGCGACCGTCGTCCGTCCGTCAACATTTCCTTTAAAACGCTACTAGTCCTGAACGGCCAAGTAGATTTTGAGTAAATTTGGTCAGGAGCATCCTTAGGCCAAATGGACTCAATTTTGTAAACGGTGAGTGTGGCCCCCCTGGCGGCAGAGGGGCGGGACAAAACAATAGAAATAGAGGTAAAACCTTTAAAATCCTTCCTCTACCGTAGGGTTTAAGGGATTTTCATCTTATTTAGATTGGAGCATTCTTGGGCCAAGGGAACACAATTTTGTATAATCGGTGGGTGTGGTCCCCTTGGTGGCAGTGGGGCGGGGTCGAATAGGGAAAATAGAGGTAAAACGTTTAAAATCCTTCTTCTCCGTAGGGATTAAGGGATTTTATTCTAATTTAGTCGGGATCATCCTTCGACCAAGGGGATTCAATTTTGTATAAACGGTTGGTGCCCCCCCCCCTTGGGGGCAAAGGGGCGGGGCCAAATAGGGGAAATATAGGTAAAACCTTTAAAAATCCTTCTTCTACCATAGGGATTAAGGGATTTCACCCCAATTTGGTCTGGAGCATCTTTGGGCAATTTTTTTTTATAAACAGTGAGTGTGGCCCTCCTGGGGGGAGAGACCGATAGGGGGAAAAGAGTAAATTCATCAAAATCATTCTTCTTCTGTAAGAATGATAGGATTTTGTCCAAATTTGGTATGAAACACCCTTTGATGAAGGGGAACCAATAGCGTATTAACGGTTGGCCTGACCGCCTGGGGACATAAAGGCGGGGCCAATAAAGGATATAGAGATATAGTTTTAATATTCTTTTTCTTTGTTGGATTAAGGTATTTTGACCAAATTTGAACAGTAGCATCCTATGGGAAGGGAAATCAATTTTGTATAAATCGTGAGTCTGACCCTACCCCCCCCCCACCCACCCCGGGGCCTGAGGGGTGGGCCCCAAAAGGGGTAATTTAGAATATTCTTTAAAATTCAAGTTCTTCTGTAGGAATGACAGGATTTTTTCCATATTTCGTCTAAAGCATCCTTTGGTGAAGGGGGACTATATTTAATATAAACGTTGGGTCTGACCCCCTGGGGCAGAGCCCAATAGGGGAAACATAGCAAATTCTTCAAAATACTTCTTTTGTAGGAATGACAGGATTTTGTCCAAATTTGGGAAGAAGCACCCATTGGTGAAGGGGAACCAATTTTGTATAAACTGTGTTGTTTTAACCCCCTGGGACAGAGGGGTGGGGCCAAATAGGGAAAATAGAAAAATAGCTTTGAAATCCTTCTTTTCCTGTAGGAATGACAGGATTATGTCCATATTTGGTCTAAAGTATTCTTGGGTGAAGGGAAACTAATTTTGTATCAACAGTGGGTCTGACCGGCATTGCCCAATAGTGGAAACATAGCAAATTCTTCAAAATCCTTTTTTTCATGTAGGAATGACAGTATTTTGTCCAATTGCATATAAATATAACCCCTGACTAACCATGAAACACATGTACAGCAACATTTGGCTATTTCATCTTCAATTTTGCTTACATTTCCAGGTGAGCGATACAGGCCTTCGGAGCCTCTAAGTTAATGTATTAGGACCTGTCGTCGCCAGGCGTGTACAACACGTGAGAGTTGTATATAAAGGTAATGTGGTAAAAATAGAGGGATCAAGGTCAACGTACATCTCCACTACATGTCGTGTCAATTATATTACCACACATCATCAATATTTACTACCCAGAGTTATTGATATTTTAGTCTATCCCTAGGAAGTTCATTTTGTTTTTCGTTTAAAGTTTTATTTCAGCTTCTGTTACACAATGTTCTTGTCCTTACTGAGGTATGATCTTATTTTTGATGTATCTGCTCACAATTAACTACGGAACAAAACTTTTATTAAATTGTAGATGATGTTGGGCATCATTCATATGTACACAAAGGAAGAAAACACAAAATATTTATCAAACAGGATTTCTTTTTTTATTATTTATCCTGAATTTAACTTTCATAAATCGTACCTGAGAATGGAACATTCTGGTTGTGAGCATAGACATTAAGTAGTTACAATGAGCGAAAAACAAAGGTTATGATAAGTGTCACCTTCTTTAAAAAGAATGTGTCTGAAGCTTAATGAAACAATCTTAGCACGTTCACAACCAAAATACAACAAAAACCAATACACATAGGATCGTTCATGAACAAGAAAAACTCACTCATAAGAAGTTTTCCAAATAATGTATCTAATTCATGCCAAGCATACCATCTCTTGATAAATTCCAGCCGATAATATTCAAGTTTAAGTTAGATTAGCTTTGTCACAATTACCGAAGCACACCTTAGTTGTATTATAGCGTTCCATGGTTTGTGGTTTTGGCTTGCAATGACATTTTGGTAACTTCATGTTGGACAAGTGCCATGAAATGTAAACATATAATCGCCAAGTGTAGCAAAAAAATGAAAAAAGCACAGTTGTATGGAGCACACAGAGCAGATACAGTCAACAAGGAAAGTAAGTAATTTATAAACAATTGTGTTGATGTGGAGATCAACATATATACAAAGTATAAAAGCATCGAAATAGTCCACTAATAATTAATAGTTTATGTATATAGATTTTGTAAAAACAAATGCTAACAATCAGATATTTTGATATATGTTGAGTAAACTAACTAGAACTTGTGAAACGAAAATCAACAAAAGAACAAATGTTATGAAAAAGTGTTGATGTACGTTGAATTGCATATTTTCTTCTGATTATATCAATACCTGTAGTTTATAGACAAATATTACAACACAATGCAAGGGACTCTTAGATCAAGTTTGCAAAAAATGGAATCTGCCAATATACTTCCAAATCACATTGTCTTCCTTTGAGATAGTCTCTGTGTCTACTGTCACCAAATATTAAATAACTGTACAATTGATCCCCATATAGTCTCACTGGGATAATTGAAGGTGACTATTTCCGTTTTTAAACAAAGCAATGGTATGTAATAAGGATAATTTTGCAATCCTTTTGACCTGCTACCTCTCCCAAAAATATGAAATAATCAAGATTCAAGAATGATTGGTCCGTTTGTCAAGCCATGACAATGACTGAATTAAGTTCTGTTTTAGGCAGTGATTGCATTAGATAACGACCTATTCCAGAAAGCCATTCCCTCATTCCAACAATTTTATCAAAAACCAGAACCAAGTTAGCAGTATTCAGAAGTTTCACCAATTAACTAATGACACATGAATACAGCTTACAGTACAGTGTCAAACTACAACATCGAAATGATATTAAAATCACATTTATAACTTAATGTTCAGCGTTGCTTATCTTTATCATAACAAGCTAAATGATAACTTAACCGGACCAATTTATATAAATTTACATTCAAGTGTATGAAGAAAAGTGAAAAAAATACAGGACTAAACCAGGGCTTAGACAGTAACTTTGGCGTGCAATGTAAACCTGTAATAATATGCTGTAAATACAGGACTAAACCAGGGCTTAGACAGTAACTTTGGTGTGCAATGTAAACCTGTAATGATATGCTGTGTATAAGTCAACTACTTTGGTTTACTGCCATCACTGTAATCATTTGATAATGTTCCACACAACAAGATCAGTAAAAGCAAAACTAAATGACCAACACCTTCAGGACTGAAAATGTGACTGGATAGTTCATGATCCTGGTAGTGTTGTAGAACATTGACAGGTTAGGCTATTAAGGAAACAGTTTGTGGACAATTAAATGCACAAATTGAAAGTAAGGTATAAAAAAAGATTTTTCTAAATGCGAAAGTGATAGACATTGACGGATATAAAAATATTTTTTTGAAAAATGCATTCTTGTAAGAAATATATATGATTATAATGTAGAAAAAATAAATAGTACAAAGTAAATACCGGTCATATAATCTTGAACACATGTATTTATCATTTAATGACACCTTGGTATGTCACCTACATTTTTTTGTATGCAGGCCTCAAGCTCAGCCATATTACTGAGATATAACTTCAGTGACATAGCTTGTGTTAAATTATGTAAAAGATGTAGAAAAGACATTATCAGACTGATAAAGACATGTACATATGAAATTCCACCCCAACCCTTTTTACACACATTGCAAAGAAGCTACAAATGTTGGGACATTTCTACAAAACATATTTCAAATTTCACTGAGATGAACTTTTGATATATTTTAACTTCTTACATATAAATAAATCTATAATTTAATATACATTCTGCTCTTTTTTCTTTTAAATGCAAGGAAATCAGAAATGGGACATGACTCCTATTGAAAAAAATATTGCTTTTGTACTGAGCATGTGTGCCAGAAATCATCAATATCAGTGGAAATCGTAAGTAGCAATACTTCATGAACAATTTTATGAAGGAAAGGGACACAAGTCTCAAGAAAATCATCCAATTATCCTAATTAAAAATAAATATATAGCATGTGTCTCGAGACATCTTCTTGAACAAATAAGCAGATATGGAGAAAAAAAATGGTCACAGCAAGACACCCTGATTCCAGTTGATCCCTCCTTCCCCACCCCTCACCCCTGTCATCTTTGTCCGTCATTTTGTGTCTAGTGACACATCAGGTCTGACAATTTCATTTACCTTATTTAATCACAATTGAAAACCTTCACACTGATATCACAGTTATGACAATTAACAAAGTTTCAAATCCATCCCTATAATTTATATATATGTATAAGATTTAAAGGAGTGTAAACCTGTGGAGGAATGTGCTACGATACCAAACACGTCCATTGTAGAGTTATGTACCAGACACATGTGTACTGGAACATGACACGGTGTAACAAAGTTTTCCTCAGTTCTGTAACCCTGTAAACTTGAACACCCATGCCCATCGCACTTTCATTTCATTGATAGAGATGGGGGGTATGGTCACAGTGACCCCTGACCCGACTCCAGGCGTGAGGGTCAATTGTCCACTATACCCCAACAGAGAAACCTTGGAGACAGGGGAGACAACTGGTGCCCCTAACTTGAGGACGTTGTTATCCGGCCAGTCTAACACGATAGCGTATACAGACGTCCCATTAGGTGACTTCTGGGAGGTATACCTGTCAATAGGAAGAAATTGGTCCAGTAACGTACAAGCCCTATGTAAAAATAAGATCTTTTTAATTGATGCTCATGGAAGTCTCCTTATTGATAATAAATTAGAGACAAATTTACAACTTCAATTCAGCTATTAGCTTTATAAAAGTGAAAAGAGTGTAAACCTCTAAAGTTATGTTATGGTACAAAAACCTAGTTTTGTTCATAGCTGTTATGCTTACATTGTAACACATTTCACAAACCCCTCAGTAACAAAATTCTATCAAAATGAGGCCAAAGTTATTCAGTTTACATGTTGACATATTGTCATGATGAAACACTTCATCATCAAAGCAACAGTGCACGTTGCATTTGATCGAATTCTGTTTACCATGATCAATGGAAATGCTGTGCATTGTAAAATTGTGCAAGTTTCTTTAAAGAGGAATTACAATTTCAATGTTTTTTTGCTTTGAAAATATAATTGAAACAATGAACTAACATGAGTCTTATTTGTAATTGATCCTATCATCATAAAGTAATTTTCAAGAAACTGCAACATACAGTTTCATGCCAGAAGTATTTGTGATTTGCCCAAATTTATTAAAAATTTCATACATTTTTACCTTTTTTCTTTTTTTTTTCTAAATAAAAATCTGAAAATATTTTCATAAATTTGTTTTAACTGGTTTTCAAGGTATGACAAGTTATTAAGATGAAATCGATTTTACAATGCCATTACATGTGTATCCTTTGTGTTACAAAACAATGGCGATGCAATTTTATTTCCAACAACAACTATTAAAAGTGATCATATTTTGTAAATAACTTTACGGAAAAATATTAAAATATTGGCTGATAAAACATCAATCAATGTCCTTTACAGTTTCCAATTTCATTTCAAAGCTAGAGATGTATGAAATACAGTGTATATGTGGGCAACTCACAAATACTTTTGGTGACCTTATTTTTTATCTGTATACTGATAGTTTTCTGTATTAATGCTATTTTTTAAATTCTTTATACTTTTTCTAAACAACAAAAACAATTAAACAAATGGTAAAATTTTGGTCTTACCAGACTCCACTGGACAGCGTGTCATTTTGGTGAGACCAGGGTTTTGAGGCATAGATTGCCTCTCCATTTACACCTAACCACTCCCCCATCTGTCGCAGTCTCTCCTCGAACATGGGAACAATTCTACCATCATGAGTCGGCCCAATGTTGATCAGCAGGTTTCCTCCGCAACTACAAATGAACAAGTACATATGTACAATAAATTCCATTGGTTACATTGTTTATATACATTAGAACTGTACGGTCTGACAATTAACACATTCACCCCTGAAATTCCATAATGAACTATTCCAACCTTTTAATTGGAAGAGTTCAAATGTGTCTTCAGGGTGAATGAAATAAAAAAGAAAATCTAAAATTAATATAAGCATGTCCACTCTATACAAAATAAAACATGAAACAATAACGTTACTAATAATTTCTAATGACAAGTACTGCAATATATATTTGTACCTGGTTCAGTGAACCCTCAAAACAACATCCTTCATTTGATTAAGCACTGCATTGACTACAAATGTATGTTTAAGTTCCCCTTTTTCTTCTTTCTCTTAAAATTCATTCAATTACCTAACAAAATATTGCCAAACATGTTTCTCAGACCGGGCTGTGTGTACATTGTGATGGACACAGCTCTCCCGTTAGATGGGCTCACCTGTTAGCTTAGGTGATAACAGCTCATGTTATTTACATTTACTACTGACAGCGACTTCACTAAAACACTTATTAAACCATGTTATTGTTGTAAAGACAACATATGTATACCTGACGGTTGAAGCTATTTCTTTGGTTATGTCGTCCATAGTAAGAAAGTCATCCAGTCTGGCCCGCCGACGATAACCCCATGAATACTTGTCAATAGTCATACTGTTTTCCCACTTCCTCTTCTGTAGCACACCTACACCGTACAATATTCTAATTACTACACAGTACAAAAGGCTGATAACTTCACAATACAACAGGCTCATGTGTACAGTGCAATAGTCTTTAATATAGACATGCACAGTGCAACAGTCTCATTCCTACACAGTATAACAGCCTCATCACTACATTATACAAAAAATGTTTCTTATGTGTTTCACATAGTTGATGAAATGATGAAACGTTTAGAAGATACACAAATATATACTGTTCATATCCAGATACACAAGTTTGAACTGATCACATTCAGGTATCTCTGAATGATTAGGTGGATAAGACTGTATACATAAATAATATGTTTTATGTGTAAGGTAACAACTGTAATGGCTAGATTGATGAAATATCTATTAACTATGACTACAGCATACCTGGGTTGAACCGGTCATCACAGTTCAGGAAGCCACCATGTTTACATCTGATGTTCTTGCCCCATCTGTCATTCACCACCACACTGTCCTTGACTGGGCTGGAAAAAACACACATTGCACAGTATAAAGTGATCCTAATAATGTCATCTCTTCTTAGACTGATCACGATGGCAATTCTAGTTATGCTGATCATAGTATTGTTACTATTACTGATACTGGTCATAATGCATAACGTGTGATCTGTCCTTATTTGTACAGCGTTTTGGGTTAATACTCAATCTGTCTGTCACTTTAGGACCTAGGGCAATCTTAATCATGAGAAAAAAATACAAAGTAACAAAACAGCAGTTATATATTCATTTTGTATGTACAGCTTTCAATATAACAGACCAAGAGGTTTACAATGACGACAAACCAGAGAAGTTAGGGAGTTATATAGATATACCTTTCATTGTAGAGCCAGGCGAGAAACTCAGTGGCATTCCAGTAAACATCTGTGGTCTCCCAGTCTCCATCCGACCAGATCACATCTGATTTGTAGTTGTTCACCAACTCGTAGAGTTCTGGTAAGGTCTTCTCCTGACACAAGTATATGTACAATGTATAGCGTTGACAGCATAATGGAGTTATGCCCCTTACCTCAACATATTATTTGGCCATGATACTACAGTAACTCATGCATACAATCACATTAACATAGTTCTGTAACAAATTATGCAGCAATTATACCAATCCTTAATGTAACAAAATATCTTTCATTTCTCCTCTTTTTTGCATTAGGAGGAAAAGCAATACTTGTGTGTGCAAATTAAACAAATTTCTGCAGTCATTCTGAATGAACCAGTCATGGATTGATCGATATGACAAAAATGGTCAGTTGATATTTGACCTGTTATAATGACTATGGTCTTTAATTAGTTGAAGATACTGATAGTGAAAGTGCCTTGCAAAGGTACATGTGTATACCAAGTCTTATCATAATATCTGATACCAGTATAAAGTTATTTAATTATGATCCAGACATGATTTGAATAGAAAGCCAGCAGATGGACATCAAGCAAAACTATAGTTCTGTAAGTTTCAGTGAGAGGAGACCGGATTAATAAGCAACAAGGCAAAGTTTTGCAAGCAATAGTACAGCTTCAGTACATCATAAACTGAAGTTCAAGTAACATGCATATTTTCTATTATAGTTGTTACCTCATAAACCAGACAAAAGAGTCAACATTTTTCCCTGTGTGGTTTGATGATTAAATAGTTTCACAGACATATACAGTAAATGCAAATCAACTTACTCTCACAAAGTCTTGAGTTTTAAAACCATTTGCTTTATCGCTGAGATACATAGGGTTATACCATTCAAACAGAGAATGATAGGTTCCAAACTTGATACCCTGCTTCTTGCGGACAGCATTAGCCAACTCCCCTGAGGATAACATCACACATATGCATGCATAAAGAAAGTGAAGCAGTAATAATGTTATTGAAAAAATATTAATAGATTGGTCTTTTCCCCTATATTTAATATTTTTGATTACATTTTTCTGCAATTTTATCAACAAACTTAACTCTACATTCAAATACTGTTTTGTCCCCCCAAAAAAGGCAAATGTAGGAAAATCCTAGTGTTTATGGAGACAATGGATCACATTCAGTACCAAAAAATACCTCTATTTTAAATAATAAATCTTTTAAATTTGAGTTTATGATGCAACATGATTCTTCAAATGTATATTGTTAGTAAACTTAATTGTAATGTCTTGTCCTTACATGCAATGATCTGTATTTTTATTAATCATCACCTGCATTGAATTTTTGAAATCTTGACATATCTGTATCAATCTACCTTTTGACAAGACTTAAAAGGCGTTCATTTGCCTCAAATCAGAAGATTAACAACTGTATGGCATTCATATCAGCTATAAATGTTGTATTACAATTGTTGACATCATTGTTTTTATGACAACATAATAATAACGTCGGGTGCCACAGACCCTCACTGGAAGATGACTGTTATTCATTAAATATGCATACATGATAAAACACATTTATTACAATTGTTATATCAAATGAAAAGATTTCAAAACTGTTATATATATCTTAAGTATTGAATTGCTTTCAAATGGTTTCCATAGTCAATTGTTTTGTTGATATACAAAATCTAGTAACTTGCCTACGAGATCCCGTTTGGGGCCAACATCCATGGAGTTCCAGTTCCAAGAATATTTTGATGGCCAGTTTGTGTAGCCTTCATGGTGTTTAGTCACCAAAACTACATACCTAAAAATGAAAATTCAAAATCTTTAAATCATGATCATATCCAGCTAAATTCTATGTAACCTTATAGTCTTTAACTATTATTTACGAGATTGACCTTTATGCATATGGTGAACCATACTTTCATTGACAGGGTTTGTTGAATCTTTATAGTCTTGGTAAATCAAATCTAATCTTTCTATAAAGATTCCAACAAAAAAATGTTCATAGATTCACAAATATAAGGAAACATACAAATAGAAATATTAATATAGAAAAACATCAACAAACAAAATGATGTTATTTGGCAAAATGTTAAAGTAAAACCAAAGTTATCTCCCTTAATGATACCCTTACCACTGCCAACAACTGTAACTCAATGGAGGATAAGAATTGTTTTTTAAACAAACATGGCAATAGTTCAATGTTACCTTTTTAAAAAATAAACCCTGTCTTTTGGGAATTTTTATGAATAAATAACTGACGAAAACAAAAATCAAGAACAGTAGCCTGAGAGTACGGTAAAAATGCAATGGGATTCAAATCTTTGATCATATTACAGTTGCTTTAACCAGTTGATATATAGCTACTTGAAGAGTATTAAATTCCAGGCCCAGTTGAACGAGTTTTATACAGAACAAAAAATTTGAGAGGTTCAAGTATGTACTTATCCTGCATTTGGGTAACAGTTACCCATTTGAGTAACAATATTATACAGAAATGGGATAAAGTGAAACAAAAAGAAACAAATTTATTTGAAACAATTGGAGCATGAAAGGGCATTATTCTTTCAACTAAATCCAATAAACAACACAATGAAGTACATTTGTATGCAAAAAGTGATTAATTCTGAACTTTTTGTGATAAGAAACCATATCACTGACTTTTTTCTCTATTGACTTCAGTGTTAAGTAATAAGTTTATTTCGGTACAGGATTTGAACATTATCTTCTTCACTCTACTCAAAATCATACAATACATAGTACATATAACAGGCCTAATACTAACGATAAAAACAAAATGTACAATATAATATATACTAGATAATGTACGATGTAGACAGATTAGTTCCCTTAAATTTAGATTCAAGATTTTTTTTTAAAGTTCGGATCTGTTATAAACCAGGTCGTCTAAAAAAAAAAAAAATGTATTTTGAGAAGATATCACAAATTCTGGTACTGTTTCATGCATGCTGCTCTCACAGTGAAAGCTTTACTTCTTGATGCTGAGTTTGCCCATTGTCGAAACAGGTTTTTTTGGAATTTTCTCTTTCACTGTTTGATGGCCACAATGTGTTATAAATGGGATCATCAAGTGCAAATGAGACAGACGAGTGTAATTTATTTATGTGTGTGATTGCACGGACTTAGATAGCATGTGATACAATTTATCATATTCAAAAAGATTATAAAAAACTGAATTAACATATTTTTGAAAACAATTGTATGCCTACACGAGTACCTCATTGTATTTTTTATTTATCATGTTTAAAGAATGACACCCTTTTAAGTTTACACTTGTTAAAAGAACTTCATTTCCCATTTAAGTGAAAATGTTTTTGAATGGGTAACTGTTACTCAAATGCAGAATTATTATCCTTATGCACCATTGTGCCTACACAGTAGTAGGCGTAAATGGTTTTAAGGTATTTCATACAGGCTCATGTCAGTGTATATAGTATAAAAATGTGGGTATACCCATGTCAGGAAAAATGTCAATAACGACCTTTGCAGAAATTATTTGTTGAAAATATTGTTGACTTTGTCTGAAAAGTAACATTTGAATGCAGAATTCAAGTGGCGCAAAATTGCAATGAATAATGGAATTAATGAAAAAAACTTACCTGAACATGCATTCCTGAAGTATCCATTTATTGACAATTATCGAGAAAAATGTAAGAAAATTTGTCAAATCTCCAGAATAATAGCATATATTTCCACTAAATAAATCACAACTGAGCATAAAGCCAACAAGGCTGCCTGAAGTTGGGCAAAAGCATGCAAAGCAAGTGCGATTTTACCTGTACACCTTTCAAAACACCTTCAGGTTCTCACTCAGGTAATCTGGCTTGACTTGTATCAATAGCCTTGTTAGCTTTACGAATTATTGTTAAATATCCAATAAAAAAACATGTCATCATTCTTGAGATTTGAAGTATTTTCTTAAATTCTTCTCGATAATAGTCAACACAAGGATACTTCAGAAATGCATGTACAGGTAAGCGTTTTCATGAATTATAATATTCGATGCAATTTTGCGCCACTAAAATTCTGCATTCAAAAGTTACTTTTCAGACAATATCAAGAATAAATTCGACAATTAATTTCTGCAAAGGTCATTATTGACATTGTTCTTGACATGGGTATACCAACCAACTTCCATATTTTTTTCATTTTGGGGAAAAGTTATGAGCCCATCACATACTATATACACTGACAAAGACATGTACGAAATACCTTACAAGTTACAACAACTTTAGATTATGCCCTTTTCATACTTTGCTCCCGATGCGTCGAATATGTTGGCCCACTGATCGGCGTTGTAAAATTCTGCTGTGAATTTGGGAGCAAAATCAGCGTATGTGAAGCCTGGTCTGTAATTTGTGTTCATAAAATCAACTACACCTGGAACCTTCTGCCCTTTCCACAACTCCCAAAACCATTCCGACGAAAAACTCGGCACAGAAAACACGCCCCAATGGATGAATATTCCTATTTTAGATTCGTCATACCAGTTCGGCAAGGGACGAGAATCTAATGAATCCCAGTTAGGTTCATATTTTATGGCAATACAACAACATAATGTACACAATAATATGAATAGACGCGTAGACATCTTCAGCGTAAACGTCGGTGTCAAAATCCAGAGGAGGCTCACATGATTCAGATCAGAGTCACATACACGCTTGACATGCATTCAAAGACTTGCATATGTCCCCAAAATGCAAGTAATAATAATAATAACTTTATTTAAAGAGGGTTACACATTTAGTACAAGACTAATCTTCCATGCAGCCCTAAAACACATACAGTACATGAATGCATAAAGAGATTACATAAAACAATGATATGATATAACTACAAACTACAAACATAATTAATTAATGAGATTACTGTAAACTGACTAATTACATGTGTTGTAATGCCTATGGTAACGTATGTCCAACAATATCTTGCATATACTAACAGCATATGTGGAACCTTACATTATAGGTTTTGACAGTGTCCTGTGGAATTTCAATACCAAACTTTTAATTATCATGAAATTGATAATGTTCATTTATCTATTTAAGTAAAGAGACAATAGGTGACTCTTGAGATTTTTTTTAAACGTGAAGACTGTTATATCATTCTTAATTTGGTTTGGAAGATTATTCCATGACACAACACCGGTATAGCTGAAAGATTTTTTGAAGATTTCAGTGGTGTGTCTTGGTATAACTAGATTATTATGAGAAGTAGATCTTAATCCATAGTTATATGTATCATGGCATAGACTTAGGTTATATTTAATGTAGCCTGGTGCTAAATCATTAAGTGCTTTGTATCCTAATATACAAGTATGATATTTAACTCTGTAATTAAAAGGAAGAGTAACACATTCTTTAAGGAGTTCAAAGTGAAACCTAATAATCAAGGAGAAACAAATATACTCGCGTTTCCCTACATTTGAGATAATAAATTAAATGTTTTAATGTTATGCCAAATAACAGATAAATAAAAAACAATAACAAAATAATAGAGATGATCAGGTTGTCGTCTGCTTCCGTCGTTTTGAATTGTTGATTTTTCTAGAGAAGCTCCGAATAAGCGCCCCCGAATAAGCGTACGATAGGGGAAACTTGAGCGCGTGAGGGCGATGTGATGTTTTATTATCCCGTAAAGCAACCAGGATCATCCAATCAGTATTATACTGGATTTTGAACATTTACATTCTTTTATTTACAGATATGTATGGGTGGCAGTTCGAGCCAAAAACGATTTATAGTATAATCACGGAATTAGATTAAGTCCGTGTTATCTAAGTCCGTGGTATAACGCGCTAAAAAAGTAACGCGTTAGAAGTGACTTTTAACGCGCAAGAGGTGACTTTTAATGCGTTAAAGCTTACTTTTAACTCGTTAAAAGTCACTTCTAACGCGTTACTGTTTCAAATGTAAAAGTAACGCGTTAAAATATGTTCTAACGCGTTAAAAGTCACTTCAAACGCGTTAAAATTCACATCTAACGCGTTACAATGGTAAATGCACTGGCCAATCAGAACAATCTTTGTTATTCATTCCTTGTTTCCACTGCATATCAATCCATTACCCCCTCCCCTATTCCCGTAATTATTCTATTGTACATATTACTTCATTCTTGTAGCTAGTGTTGAAAAGCTGATTACTAAGCAGGTAACAAATTTACTTAAGTGTCACGACACTTTTTTTGTTTCCTTTCTGTTTTATAAAACATGTATTTCGATGAATTGTCAAACAAAATTTGAATAAAACAAAGTTTAAACCAAAAATCGTTTCATAGTTGATGCTTTTGATATTTAAAATAAATAAAAATGTTATGACTAATTATATTTTAAAAAACCCAGACAATAACTCATTTCCACATCATATGTTTCTTTTAAGTAATGTGGAAATGGGTTATTGTCTGGGGTATTTGTTTCAATATGAATAAACAAATCTTCATTAAGTTGGAATAAAATATGGCAGTTTTGATACATAAATAAAATTTCCAGAACCTTAAAAGTGGTGTCGGAACGGAATTTAGAGTTTTTATAATTGATTTTCAGGAAATGCCCTATTTTTTGGGAACTTCAAAAAGTCATTTTTGCTTCATAAAACAATTCCTGTATGAACATAAAATTATCACATATTTTTTTTTCTCCGATTTCCTTAAATGCCTTCGTTAGGTAAGTACAAACATCTTTGAACCCAATGATACTTCACTACAAAGTTTAGTTTAAATCAATTTATTGACTTTTGAAAAAGACATTAAACTTTTTTTTTTTTGACAGATGACGGACATTGCTCCACGGAATACGATCAAATGTCCTAATAACCGTTATTAATGGATAAATCAGCACCAATCTAATCTTCAATTTCCCACAGATTTCTTTGTCTAGAAAGAGACGTTGGGAAATTGTTCGCCGAGGAAGATGCAGATTATTTCTTGTCAATTTTGAAAGACATGTCTTCTGATGTGGAAAACAGCTCGTATGATTGAGGCACACATTAGTTCTATACTAGATGTAAAATACTCTTAATTCATCCCCGAATCAATTCTCACCTCTACTATGTCCTTCCCTGGCCACTTTCTATATGCTATCTCAAAAGCAGTAAACTTGAAAACACGAAAACGTCGCATTCAAACACTAGTAATCAAATCAGCCGACAGGGACGAATATCATTTGGCACAGCATTTTAGATGTACATGTGCAGTGTGTGTGCTGCAACTTTCACATGCATAATATTAGCATTGATATGAACATGAAAAGGCACGAGCAGTCAATTATTCCGAAGCAATCATAATCCAACCGGTAATTATGTGCCGTCAATCCGATCGTGCGTAGACGGTCACCTGAGGGAATTGGTAATGCCTGATATGGGGCCGCCCGTAAAGTAAAACAAAAGTGTANCAGGACCTTATGAGGAACATTTGAAACACACTTTCTTGTCAATGCAGCCGTTTTTTATGACGACATGCATAACATGTGCAATATACTCTACATTTATCAGGATAAATACTCAGGATCCCATTAATTTTCTTCCAATGTAGGTTCTTTCTCTTTTCCTGTCTTTTCTGTCTCATCCTCCATGTCTGTACTAGTCCGCAAAACACTAATTATGTGTGGAATAGACTTCAAGCCCAACTTATTAATAGCTATAAAAAGAACAACAAACTATCAGTCAAGTTAACGTTGAATATAATCTTAGCAATTATTACAATGACTAGAGACATAAATGACCTTCGAACATTTTTAAAATACAAACAAATATACCCTTACAACTTAACAGAAAATCACTCTGGAAACGCTGCAATTCATAAATATTACATATGAATATTTATTGAGATCTGTGGAGGACACATCGTGGATTTCATACACGTATTGAACAAGTGGATACCTTACAAAACCACCTAATTTATATTGATAATCACCAGATTTCACACTAACATCCTCGTGAACCTGGCAACTTTAATACTTGCATACAGTATCATTCATTATCACAATGATACACACTTATCTGCTGTTCCTACCTCTTTCTTATACATTATCATTCTCATTCCTTTAAGGATTCCAAACAATTTTTATGTTCCTTTTTATGTGATAATTTTATGTTCATACAGGAATTGTTTTATGAAGAAACGAGAAAGCAAAAATGACTTTTTGAAGTTCCCAAAAAATAGGGCATTTCCTGAAAATCAGTTATAAAAATTCCAAATTGCGTTCCGACACCACTTTTAAGGCTCTGGAAATTTTATTCATAAATCAAAACTGTCATATTTTATTTGTTTATTTATATTGGAGAAAAAAACCCCAGACAATAACCTAATTTAAATAAATAAGAGTATAGGCACTGGGGTAGACAGGGAAGCACAATACAAACATATCAACATGATGGTGATAATATTATAGCCAAAATACATCCGAGACCACTTACTAAGAGGACAGGGTTATTATTAGTGGACGAATTCGACCATGTGGTTTACAATCTGGCCACCAATGCAGGCGTCTGGGACGAAGTCCTCGAAATCATCGTCTTTTGGGATATTAAGAAAATAATGCGGTTAAGATTTGCTGAACTTCGTCATTTCTGGGCAAAAAAAGAGGACAATTTATTTTACCAAACCCTATTTCTCGAAAAATGATTACTAAATCTCGCCATTCAAGACGAAAACACGAAACATTGAAATGATCCATACGTACCAGCCACCGTAAGCAGAAGTGTTTTTCCTGTCCAAGTAACAATTACAACAACCAAGGTAGAGTATAACTGGTCACAGATGCTCGAGAGGCTATGAGTCTCCTCATCTCGATTCAGAAAGATAGATCACAAATAAGAAAACGTCGCAGAATACGTCTACAAAATCGGATGCAAGAACTGTAACGAATCGTATATCAGAGAAAATGGTAGGGCCGTACTTAGTGAACACCGGAAAGATGCAGAAACCAAAGAGGGAAAGAAACTTTTCCCGACCAGAAAGGAACCAGTCTGAGTTCTAGACCAGGGACCGCGGTGGCCAAGTGGTTAATGACATTCTGCTACCACAAGCCCTCTAACACTGGGTCGCGGGTTCTAGGCCTATACACGTGTGGTAGTCGACAGCTACTGGCCGTAGGTCGGTAGTTTTTTTTTATCCGGGAACTGCACCACCAAAACCTGGCACGTCCTCAAATGACCATAGCTGTTAATAGGACGTAAAACACAAACCAAACAACAAACAACCAAACACACAAAGTTATAGACCAATACAGTCTCATCTAAAAGCTGGTAAAATAAAGTTTTCAAAAATATCTTGTTTTTCGAAATTAGTCCAAAAATAAGGATTTTGGAAACTATTGAAATTTGCTCTGTGTACTAGTTAAAATGGGCACAGGTACCAAATGCGTCGTTAGAGGAAGTTGTACACATGGAGCATGCACACGCAGCATTTCTCCGAAGTAGTTTGGATACTAATTAAGATGATACATAACAATTTCGATTTCTCTATCTAGAATAGGAGGAAAACTCAAAAGCTATTCGGCCTTTCTTTGTTCTTACTAAAAAATAAATTCAAATTTCAACGCGATATTCCCGAGGCATTTATCAACCGATTTCTGCGCAATGCCACACCGCGAAATCATGTTATGTACTGCGATAACTATAACGCACTGAAGGGAGAGATCAATCCGTTCAACTGCTA